CCTTTCTTCAATTATATGAACCATGCCAGTGTCATATTCTGAAAAACAGCCCCACACTTCCAAACTTTTCTTTTGATGGTGTGTTTTTGGTGATTTTTGATCTGCAAACATGCGTGTATTATGGCAGAGTTCAACGTTTACCAGACCATTCTTCTGGGATTTCACAGGCTTATTTAAATGTTGCTCAACAAACTTTAAAGGATGTTTTTGCGTGGTGGATGTGCATACTTGCCAAGGCACTTGACTGCATCACTTATCATTTTCTTTAAAACAAGACCAGTCATTACCTGCGGATTCCAGGTATTTCTGCAGCTCTCCACAACTGCTCCTTGGCTCTTGGATAACTGATAGTTCTATTCACTCCTCTGTCTGAAACAAGGCAGGGAGGATCTGGTCACAGCCAGTTTATGGTGAAATAATGTTCTTCCCACTTCCCAGTTATAGATCCAACACTGCTCAATGGGACATTCAGTGTTTAATCATTTCTTCTGTAACAATGCCATCAGCATGTTATGAAACAACAGGGTTGTGAAGGTCATAGGAGACCTCAGCGGTTTTACCCGTCATGAGAGGTTTCGTGTGCGACACTTTGGTAATGTCGCACCATTTACAGGCCATCAGTTGGAACTGAAGCAGCTGATGTTCATTTGCACTAAGTGGCAGGACTGATTTCTAATTACTGATAGATTTCAGCTGATGCCATGAATTTCCATGGCTTTTTGCACCTTCCCTGTACAATACTTTCTTTTTTTTTACAATTATTATAGGTGTTTTAAGGCTGTAAAACCCGTCACTACACACTTTATACACTTTTTTCAGACAGGCATGAACATTTTCACACTTTTCTGTCTTGTTTAAACTCTCAAAGTTCAAATCTTCGTAGAAAAATAAGTCCAGTATTATAGAATGAAACCAAATATCAAACCCTGTTTTCAGGCCAACAACACGGGAATAGAGCAGCTGCCAGAGAATTCAACATTAATGAATCATTAAAGAATCAATGAGGAGTAGGAGAAGCAAGAGGAATGAGTTGAGTAAAGTTTGACTTATCTGACTGTTTTGTTTTGCTTAATGCACCTAATCCAAAAAAATAGGGTAACTAGCATGTCCAGAAGTCCAACTTTTTGTGCAATGGATAGCATCTTCCTCTGCCCTTTCGGTGCTACCATAGGAGCCTTTGATGGTGCAAAATGTTTCGTCAACAGTGTTGTGTTTGTTGGAGAGAAAACTTACAAACATACAGTATAGCACCCCAGAGTCACACTGCTAGTGATTGAAGATTTATATAAATTTGACAAGCTGAACGCATTCTGGAGACACAGCACAAGATTGATTGATAATTGTCTACAGCCAATCAGGATGCAGAACACAATGGCTGTTTTTAAAAAAAAAGAAAATAAAAGAAGAAAAAGTATGGAAAATTGCCCCCCCAAAAAATCCACAAAACAGCGAGGCCGCGAAAGGTGGACCACATTATAGCGATGGAATAACTTAATTCTTGGAAATCTATGGTTTCATTTCTTTGAATGTGTGGAGTTGATGGGTTGTTACCAACATTTGGTGATAAATTCATGTAAATAGCTCCTTTAGAAATATATTAACACAGAACATTGGTGACGTGTTCGATGCTTACTTTACCCGGTATATATACACTGCAAAGCTATGCACACACAAATACTCACATAGCCGGTGATAAGGCAGGCTCGTTTGATGAAGGGGCTACAGATGTGGAGGAGCTCCCTGAGTGTAGAACTAGACAGGTGACTGTGAGTCAGAGACAGACAGACAATAGTCAGAGTAAAACAATAAAATTAAGTTAGAATTTAAAAAAACCCCACATAGGTGTCTATGACAGACTCAATTTTTAACGGCAAAGTTATAGTTTATGGGAATAAAGAGCAAAAAATTGTCGTAGAAGGGAAATAAAAACAGGAATTATGTATAATGTCAATTCCAAAAAATGTTGACTGCAAATATCTTTTTAAAAACCAAACACTTTTTAGCCACGTTTATTTTTGTAATTTTTTCTGTATTCTGTATGATTTAACTTCCGTTTGCCTTGTATGCTTTTGAAGCGTTGTTTCAGTTTAAGCATTTATTGGTTTTCTGTCCGACTGTAAATGAAAAATTTATTTTTGAGATTTTCATGCCATTGCATTTTGTTTTAAAAAAATGTCATAACATTTTTAGGGCCCGAGCACTGAGAGTGCGAAGGCCCTATTGTATCTGCTCCGTTTATTATTAATTATTATTATTAGTAGTATTATCATTATTAGGGCCCGAGCACTGAGCGTGTGAAGGCCCTATTGTATTTGCTCCGTTTATTAGGGCCCGAGCACTGAGAGCACCCTAAACCCTATTCTTTGATCCCCATGATAGAACAGAGAAAACCCGACTCAGAGTGGTCAAAACATTTATATTTCTTTATTCAATCATCTTCTGGAAGAGAGAGCCCTGCACAGCCCCAAAAGCCAGTTGCAGAAACTCTAACATTAGAATTTAAAAATGTGTCTCATATAGGTGTTATTTTGGTCCTTTACACGTCACACATAGTTTCATGTTACTAGTTCCTCTTTTTGTCTGGGTGTCCTGTTTTTATTTATATGCTTGTATAGCTCTACACCACGTGTCAAAGTCAAGGCCTGCGGGCCACATCCGGCCCGGCGGACATTTATATCCGGCCCGCGAGATCATTTTATATAGATGTACTATTATTGTTATGCATTACCCTGCGATATGAGGTGCTAATAATATACAAACTACAGATCCCATAATGCAGCGCTGCAGCCTCCGTGCTGAACGCTAGGCTAACTGGGAACATTCCCGCGTCAATCAAGTCAAACTTCTGTTATTGCGAAGCTAGCCGCTCACAATGGTGGAGAGAAAAGTTGATTCTGAAAGCAGAGCCTTTCAGCGCCAGAGACTGAATATATGTTTACAGACATTCAAATTCAAATTCAAATTTTATTTGTCACGTACACAGTCATACACAGTACAATATGTAGTGAAATGCTTGGACAACTGCTCGTGACCTAAAGAAAA